AGGACACTCCCCCATCCCCTGAGCTGTGTCCCTGCAGTGTCCCCACCCAGCAGGACACTCCCCCATCCCCCAGGCAGCCCGTACCTGGGACAGGATGTTGGTGCACTGCTGCAGCAGTGACACGGGCGGGTTGCCGATGCTGGTGGCCAGCTGCACCCGCAGCAGCTGCTCCTTGAGCGTGCCGTTCTCCTGCAGGGCGTGGGCCAGGGCCACGGCTGCACACCAGTTGGACAGAGAGTCCGTGGAGAAGAGACCCCCGCAGAGCAGCTGACCCGCCGASACCGAGTTACCTGTAGCTGCCACAGAGGCCAAGAGGAACAAGGAGATTAAAGCGAGCCACACAATTGGCAAAATATTTGAGACAACACAGTTAAAMCCCAGAAAAATCAAACTAGTTCATTTTAGAATCAAACAAATGGAAGGCCAATCACCCTGCCTGGATCAGTGACTCCAACAGCAGGTCAATGGTTTTTCCTGAGACAGCAGCTGGCACACCAAATGGTGCCAGTTCAGAACTCATGCACAGATGGTGCCCTGGCCTACCGTCAATGGTGGATGGCAGCAGCGTTGAGACAATCTCTCCTTGTCCTTTTTGGTTTTTGTACAGAAAGCACTGGAAACAGTAGAGCACAGCACAGCGGAGCACGAAGGGCTGCCTCTCATTGACCATGGACATCAGCAGCACCACGATGGCAGGCCTGGGGAAAGGCAGCAAARCCTTCAGAGCTGAGCTGGCARTGCACACAACAGTACAGGCATCTTCTACAGGAAACATCTACCCACCACTACATCTGTTACTATTGAAACAATGGGATTAAAACCCAAGTTAAACCTTTGCAGTTATTTATACACAGAACAAGAGACTGATTATCCATCTCCCTCGCCTCCAAATCCTCCTCAGACTCCTCTGGCTGACAGTGGCAGCTCAGCCTGACCCAGGAATTTCTCACCCATTGCTCATTTGTTTTTCAGTGCCACTTAATATCAGTTCTAGGCCTCATCACTCTGCAAACACCTGACACCTTMATGCTGCATCCAATAAACCCCCCAGGAACTTCAAGCTGTTATTCCAGACCATAATTCCAAATGTGGAATTTTAAAAACCCTTTAGATTGCCCACACCAATACATTATCACCTCCAGAGTTAAAACACTTGTTTCTCTACCTTGGTGGATTAGAAGGTGCATTTACAGAGGCAAAGTAGTCTTGATTTGTCTGGCATCCTCGGATGACCTCTGACACAGTATTGATGGTCTAAGGAAAGGGCAGAAAGAGGAAAAAAAACATGTTTAAATGTGAGCCATAGCCAGCCACCTGGATCCCTCAAAATTATTCCAGATTACCCTGACAGTTCAGTATTGAGAAGCACATACAAAGTCTTAGAGACTTAAGTAAAACTGGTGTCCATGAAATCAAGGCATTTAACAGCTGTGAAAGGACAGAAAGCTCACACAGTCACCTCCAGCTTTGCTGTCTGTGCCAGTCACTTTTACTATGACAGCAAAATGACAGCTAAACTGGACRTTTTTAAAAAATGAAGAGGTGAAAYCTTTTRAAAAACTAAGAACTGGAAWAAAGGAACCAGTCCACACTCAATCCAACAGGTAGTTTTATCAAGGGAAAAAACCTTCATCCTAAAAAAAATCCCTCATCACTGCAAGCCTATCAGAGTATTTGTACTGTCTGAAAAAAAACAACAAACCCAGCCCCAAACCAGGAAAAACCATAAATCAATCCAGCTGCTCTGGGATATGCTGAAATCCAACAGAAAAAAAATAGGCCAATCCAAATTCAGTTTGCAGAATGCAATGTAAATGCCTCTTGCACTGGTGCTGCCCACACAGGAAGCTGGCAGCTCTGGCATGTGAAATKCTTGCTTGGCAAATATTCAGTGTGTGCAGCTGCTGGTTATCCCAAATCACCCCCATTTGGCTGCTCCCACCCCACAGCATTTGCCCTCTTACTTCAGTCAGGATGTCAGCAGGAACCCCGGTGGCCATGAGGATGGTGCAGAGCTGCTGTAACAATCCACAGTGGAACATGGCCTTCTGACAGCTGCTGGTGGCACCAGGAGGGTTGGTGGGGGACACCAGCACCCGCACCAGCTGGAGAGAAAGAAAAACTGCAGTGTCAACAGAGCCTGAGACCTTGGCAAAGCAAAAACTGACTGCAAGCTTAACTAGGACATCAGTGGAGACTGGAGACAAGGAACAGAATGTTTACCTCATTGTTACCTATGGCTGCTTGAATTTCAATTTCACACTGGGGATTCTTTACATGGAACACCCCTTCTTTACATGGACCACCCCTATTTATGTTTTTAGCTTAAATCATTAGTACATCTCAGGTGACACCAAATTATGCAATATGCCATCACAGATTGACCTGTGACAGGGCTCGTGCTTGAAGCAGCACAGCTCATGAGCATTGCTAGCTAATTCTGAAATGSATTTTACACTGACATGACACTTTGCACTGCACAAGAGCTCCAAACACCACTGTAAGCAGAGTTGGAAGCAGCGTTTTACCTGCAGCATCAGGTGAAGATTTGTTACTTTCTGTGCACTCCACCCACAATTGTCATCTCCAACCTCAAACCAAGGCTTCATTCGCTGAATGTATGAACCTTCCTTGAAGAAATTCTGATTGGAATTGTTATTCTTCAACAAGTTTTGCAAGAGGAGGAGACAATCTTCCACCACTATTCCTGGTGAGACAAAGTATCACACTGTGAATCAAAATAGGCCAAATGGAAACAAATTAGCTGGAGCACACACTGAGGATGTTCCAGRGGGAATAGAGCACACATTTCTGAGCTCTTCATTCTTAACACACAWTAGGCTTGGATCAAGAACTGTGAAMCCKGTGAAACCATAATTGTTCTTCTTCCACAAGTCCAAAGCAAATTCCATGGACAGCTCATATCAGTAAAGCAGGTAAATGGAAAGAAGCTCCAACAAAACCTCAYCATCCCTTTGTGTGCTGAAGTTCCAGAATCAGCTACACTGTCCCTATCAAAGGCACTCCAATGAAGTTCCTCCTGAACTGCATTATGATTCCAAGGCAGAAGCTCTTCCTGGCTTACACATYCATTCTCTTGAAACACTGCCTACCATCTTCAGCTCATTTCAAAGCTACTTTTTAGTTTTTGGATTACCCTCAAATAAAGAGTCCTCCTATCAGAGGAACAGATAGAGCRGGGGGAAGCAGAGAAGTCTTAGCACTTAGGAATTTATGTAACAAGTCTCCTAAAATTATTAACTKCCTAAAAATAGCAGCTTTAAATCAAAGGTTTGCTTAATATTTCCATGCCAACATACTGGGAATAATACAGCTGAGAGAAGCACTAACTGCTCCTGCAGCCCACAGAAAATTCATGGAACAGCAACCTGTAGTAAACTCAGCAAGTGTTGCTAGCTTAAAAAAAAAGAAAAAAAAAGCCTTTAAGTAGTGCATTGCTTTTGGCTCTCTTTTTAATTCTTTTCCCCTCCCAACAGGTAACAGACTTGTGGAGGAGTTGAGCAGCAATCTGAACCCGCAGTGTGACTGCAGGAGCTCTACAAGCTGTTCCTGCAGCACTCCAAGCATGCCAGGATCTCRTGGCAGGAATGCAGCAGCCTAACTGGGTGAGTGACAACTGCAGCACACAGCTGACACTGCATTCTGAACACACACACTCACAGCCTAAGTCAGGCAAGAACACACCAACCCAGTGACACAGGCTTAGGGTGACCTGATGTTTGAACTAAGTGTGCCACTTTCTCAAAAGACACAAACACAGCTRCCTGGTCCAGCTGGTGTTGCTTATTTTGCTTGTTATTATCTGCTTGGTTCCAACCAGTCTATAAATTTTGATTCAGATGTATAAATTTAGAGCACTGAGCGAGCTCCAACCATCCCCTAAGGAAAGCCTGGAAACACGAGCTCATAATTACAGAGGCACAAGGCTAAGTCTCAGATTAGACCGTACCTCCATCGCTGTTTCCTTCCTCTGTGATGATATCCAGAAGTCTCTCAAAGGCATTTTCAAAGGCAACAATCTTCTGGATGGCTGCATTACTTTTGGTCAACTGCTGTAATAGCAGGACTCCCTTGAAAAGTGGAAAACAGAAATCACACTTGAGTTTTAACAGAAACTTTAACAGCTTTGCACAAGTCCCAGCCCTTAGAAGGATGTTGAACCAGCAGCATAAAACTCAGCCAGGATCACAGGACACAACTGCATGCCCAGCACATCTGGGCACCCAGATGGGCACCAGGCAGTGGTTCTGTTCTCAATACACTCACACAGAACATGCCAAGGGGCCAAACAGAACTGCTGCACTTACATCATTTCGGATCACTTCCCTGGAGTCTGCTAGTAAATCCATCAGTCGGGAAACACCTGCAAGAAATAAGTGTTTCATGAAAAGATGCATTTTCATGCCTGAGGCCTCTAATGCATGTGCTCAAGAGTCCTCCAGGCCTCTGCCATGTCTGCTGAGCATCAAGCTCCAAATTTATCAGCAACAGATTCAAGCACTTACCCATGGGGCTGACCAGAATGATCTGCTGCACTTGAGGCCCTTGCTGCTTTAATAAAGATGTCAGCAGCTTCACTCCAGGCCAACGAACATGGAAATCAAATTCCTGCAAGGATGGAAAGGAGCAGGGTAAGTGAAGAACTCCTCACTGTACTTAGATACACTGATGGTTGTTTAATACTGCTCAAAGCATGACATGGCTGTCAGATGGGAAAGTAAAGTATAATGGTTTTTACTGAAGTTGGGCTACAAAGAAAAAGAAAAAAWGAATAGAGATTTGTATTGTTCTCTCTCTCAAGCACAGTCATATTCCTAGTTGGGAAGAAAATTTTTAAGAACTGTAAGTAAAAAGGCAGCCCATGAGGATGAAACCATTGGAATATGAGTTAAATACCATGCTGCTGGACAGCAACACATTTCCATTTGAACTGCATCTCAGATGTGACTGTCACATGATGATTTAGTGATCAGCTGAGAAACAGCTCTTGCCCAAGGGACAAACAGGGCTGTTTGGGGAGCAATGATTTCTACTGTTTCCAATATAGTAACCCTTTCTCAAGTAACAGGTGAGAGCAGGTAGCCACATGCTGCACCAGGGGAATTATGGATTAAATATTGGGGGAAATTTCTGCACTCAAAAGGGGGTCAGGCATTCTGTAGAGTGCCCAGGGCCGTGGTGCAGGTGCTCAGCAAACACCAGCATGTGGACAAAAGCAGGGCTCTCTCCCTTCATAAATCCCACTCATCTCTCAGCAGCCTAAATATGCCCCAGTTACTCACCTCCACCAGAGTCAACAGCAGAGTGACATTTTCTTGCTGTTTAATGAAAATCTCTGTGAACTGACTCCCCAAATCATCAACTTGTTTTGCTGAGTTTTCTTCTGTAACAGTAAAATCAACATATTACAACATAATTGGAACAGCTTCAGCAGCCGTGAATTTTATTCTTACTAAATGAAGGCCATGGGTAACCAAAAGGTTTTGAGTCACTGCTATAAATGTTACGTGAATTATTTTCAAAACAAACACCAAAACAAGCTTTTAACCAAACAGAAATCTGCATTATTTTAAATGTAACTTGTGAATCTCAGCTACTACATCCTCACATAGTTCCACTGATCTCTCATAATTACACTACACTGATGGGAATACAGAAAGTACAGTTCACACCAAGATCTTGAAGCRTAAGRAATATAAATCACCTAAAGCTRAAGGGCCCAAACATYTTAATTATTCCATTTGGTTTAGCAYTAGGAAAGACCTACACATCAGGAAGGGAGAAGTGTCACATTGATAAGCACCAAAAGCTGTCAGTGTTGGAATCTGAATTGATTTCAAATGTGCCACACTGAGTGCCATTCCATTCCATTCCATTCTTCACTCTCCAGTAACACAGAACTGGGCTAGCACAGGAATTGCCTTACACAGTTATTTCATGCATCACTGTTGCATGAGCAAACAACAAATGCAAAACCCCACGTGAGCAGCATCTCTGCACCACTGCTATTTTTCTAGGCTGAGTGACAATTTACATAACTGCTCCACAAAACAATGGCATGYAGGTACTACAGGATGACATAATTAAGCCATGTCAGCTGAAAAACTGAGGAAGAGCAATTTTAATCCAAAGGGAAAGCGTTTTTTAAAATAGAAATAAATAGAAAATAAGCAGTAAAGCAAATTTATTTCAGACCAAATCCAAAAGTRTTTGGATTTTTTCCTACTTGAACTCCAGGATTTATACCAGGAAACACTAACCAAGCACTGACAACTGAGCAGCWACCAAAAGGGTCAAAGACCACACATGATCTGCACACTCTGCACCTTCTGAGCTATGGCAAAACAGAGAAATCAAAACACTACTGGAAGAGTCTGCTGCCAAGAACACAATTCTAATTCAACTAACCTAATTCAAACTGTTGTTGATGGCAACTCACTACAGGGTATCACTTTTTAAGGTGCACTTGTGGAAGATTTGCAGTGCAGCCTCCCAGACACCCCTTGAAGCAGGCACAGCAGTGCCCAGCTTCCAAAAGGGACAAAGAAACAGCAACACTCTGCTCTAAATTTACAGCAGCAGAAATGGTGAACAATTACAAAAAATGTTAAAGGGGAAGACACAGCACAAAGTGCAAAAAGAGCTGTAGCCCAGGCACATAGCAGCCAGCAGGACATATGTCCAGTAGTGACCTCTCTGAAATGAGTGTCTTAGCAGGTCTGGGCCATTGCTGAATGGACATTTATTCATTTACACAAACAATGATGAAAACTCCAGAGTTTCAGCTTCTGCACCTGCTSCTCTAGAGTAAGAGCTAACTCAGCTGGGACTCCATCATACTGCAAGCCAAGGGGAGAGAGTCCCAAAACCCCTAAATATTCTACTTGCAAAACTAACTCCAAATATTTCACTTGGACTTGTCCAGGAGCTGTGAGTGAACATCTTGTCCTTGTCCAGGAGCTGTGAGTGAACATCTTGTCCTTGTCCCAGCCTCAGCTGCAGTTAGCAAGTGTTTGAACTCTTGATCCCAAATGCTGCCCTTGCATGAGCTCCCAGTGCTAAGGCAAAACTTGAGCAGGACACACAACCTGCACAGCCTCTCTTGGGCTGTAGTTSATTTTTGTTACTCTAGCTCAGTATCCTTCTATGAAAGGGCCAAATCACTTTTCTTCTTTTCAAGAATTTCTTCTACTATGCTTAACAAAARACTCAACAGGCAAAGGAAACTCTCTTGTCCACTTACACCAGAAATCCTGCAACCAGCCTTCTACCCATAATTGTTCCTTAAATCCACACATTGCCAGGGTTATCTCAAACCAAGCCAATAGCTTCCATCTAGTGAGATCAGCTCTTAGCAATTCACCAGCAAGCAGCACTGCAAACCAGGATTATTTTTAAAATAAGCAGATGTGCATTTTGATAAAATCAAAAGGAGAACATGCAAAGCATTAGTGGTAACCTAAGGTGGAGGTGAAGGCTGCATTTTACCATGCATTGCTTAAAAGAGACACTGTGAAGGATGCTCATSTGCATCAAGAATTGACCATCACTGCAGTCTCTGGAGATCTGCTGGCATTCAACATGCCGAGTCACAGGAGAAATCAAATTGGGAACACACGTGAGCTCCAAAGAACAAATACAGAGCAGAAGGCAAAAGGCTTTCCCTGAGCTCCAGTGCTCGTTTTACAGTGTCCTTTTTAAATGGCAGCAAGTGTTACTGGCAGGATAGCAACTAGGGCTAAAACAAAGTGCCATRTTTATACAAATAAAGGGGTTTTTACCTTCAGAGTCATCTGTCAGTGCAGACAAAATAAAAAGAAACAAGAGACAGGTTTACAAGTTGAACAGCACAACCAATGACAGCACAAGCTCAGGTTTCCAAAGCAGCCATCCCAGCTTCCTGCAGCAGCTGGAGTATTCCAGCAAATCCTGATCCTAATCCTAACCCCTAGAGCCCTGCTCATCTCTCCCACAAACTCCAACTTGGCTCTTTGGAAAAACCTGCCAGTGTCATCAAGGCCTTTCCCACAAACTGGAATTCAGCAGCACTGTCAAACTCTGATCTTGTCCTAAACCTTTGTGATCAGGGGGAACTGGAAGAACATGGAAAAGCAAGTCAAGGAAACCAAGCACAACTTGAGATATGGGTTAGAATAATATTCATTGGCCTTGGAGACTGCTTTAATGGCCTTCAAAAATCACACAGGTTTGAGGGGCACGGATTTTCACAGCCCAGCTGTACAAGCAAGGACAAGCTGAATCTTTCTAAACCTCTTTCTCCACTGCCATAGCAGGGTTGAACAAGGTTTTCACACTCATATGTGGCACTTTATATCCTATCTCAGCATCTTCGTTAAATCATGAGACAGCAGTGTCCCATTTGACAGTAACAGCCAAAACTATCCTTTCCCAACAGCAAAGAAGGGCTTGATTCTTGACTTAAAAACAAAAAAGTCTGCCATTCCAATCTGGCTGCTCAGAACATAGTTTTTCACAGAGCATAGTTTTTAAAATTAATAAGCAAGAGATCCAGTGTTACTTTAATGCAAGTTGCATAGAAGATTTTTAGCATTGTCTTAAAAGCTCCACAAGAACACAGCAAGTCTAAGGAAGCATCAGCACATCACAGTATTACAGCTGATAATTGSAACAACCCCACAGTTAATAGAACTATTACTACCAAGTGCTTACCTTGCTCCTCCTCTTCTAGGTCATTCGATATTACATTGTAGAGTGTGTCCAAAGCATAGCCAATTATTTCAGAATCTGAACTGCAAATGAAAGAACCACTTTTCTTTAATGACTTATTTCCAGCTTCTGTTAACAACATTGCTCTTCTGCCCAGGCAGTTCCCTTTRCAGCATTAGGCCAAGGAAGAAGCACAGATTTATTGCAGCACTACAYAACCCCAAGCTGGCTGGTCCCTAAACAGAGTCAAGCTCCTTTTCCCAGTTCCATTTCCTCAGGTGAGCCTCAGGAAGTCTGGTGACACCAGGATGCCTCACTGTAGGTGTGCCTAATTTTTGAGTCACTCCCTCCAACCTGCTCCTGTACCAAGGAGAAAGCTCTGGGAATGCTTCAGACTTGCCAGAAAGTCACCCAAGGAAKCTGCAGCCAAACTTCAGCACCTCCTCAGCTGGGACCCACGTGCTGTGCTGTCAGACAGAAGCAGAGGCAAATCTTGGAGCTCCATGGAATGCAGGAACAGCTCTGCAGTTGGGACTCTACCTGCTGGGATTTACCTGCTACACTGTCAGACAGAAGCAGAGGCAAACCTTGGAGCTCCATGGAATGCAGGAACAGCTCTGCAGTTGGGACTCTACCTGCTGGGACCCACGTGCTGTGCTGTCAGACAGAAGCAGAGGCAAACCTTGGAGCTCCATGGAATGCAGGAGCAGCTCTGCAGTCTCACAAACAGGCAGCTCCGTGTCACCAAAGCTCATTAATGAAGGGTTTTCAATTCCAACATCCCCAGGAAGCTGCAGGGAAGCCTCACTAGCCCCAAAGCATTGGTTCATCTGCTCACACAGACTTTTCTCTTAAGCCCTGCTTCAGGAAGGACCTGTCCCCTCTGCATTTCCGAGACTGAACTGTCTGTAAACCCTATGCTACAATCAAGACACAGCTCCAGTTTATGAGCAAAAATATAGCCATTTCTGCTATTTGCTTTGTTGTTCCTAAATAAAAATCAAATGAAAGCACTGTTGGTAAAAGAAAAGGAAAAGAAAAAACCTAAAATCACAGGGAGGATGTCTCCCTGTGCAGGACACGTCACAGCATTTTCATGACTCTGACAAGCATCTGAAAAGAAAACTGTCAAAACAAGATCTCTTACTCCAACTCCTAAATATTTACTCTCACTGATATCCCAGGTGCTCCAAGTAAGGCTTCCACACCAAGGATCAATTTGCATTTCAAGAGGCTGCTAGGCCAGTTCAGAGTGAGGCCTCAAGAGCCACCTAACCTTTCAGTCCATGCAAACAGCCTCACCTAGCAGATATGATCACATCTCCAGCCTACTGCCATTTTAGTTCAACACACTACTACAAAGCCTGTGCTTTCATTTCCATAGAAATGAAACAATTGCACATCTAAAAACACACTGAAATTATCTCCTGGAAATTTGGAAACCAAGGCTGCAGCTTGGCAGGTTTTTAAACTTCACTTGTTAGGGAAGTAACAGCAGCTACAAAAGAATAAGCAAATTTAATGTAGATGTGATTAAAAGTGGGCCTTGTTTCTCCGGTTGAAAGATAACACATCACAAAAGGAGGAGAGCAGCATCCCACCTCTGCTGCTCACTGCCCTGTTGGGCACAGATCACACCTCATGGATTCTTCTCAGCCTGAAGCTGTCCAGTTTTTGCTCCAGAGTAAAAACAAGAAATAAGACTTCTCAAGCAGCCTTTGTGCAGTACAAGAATCCAGCACAAGGGTGATTTTACAGGACATTCCAATGAGAGTCCACAAACAACAGCAGAGCAGAACCACGTGGAAGTCAAGGCACCTGTGCATGGACTGTCTTGCACATGCATAMCTGAGGTTTGTGCCTTAGGAAAAAAAAATAATTCTTAGGTCCACATATTAGGATATAAACTCTTTTAATTATCACACTGAAACTCAGAAACCTCATAAYGTACGTGGTAACAAAGCAGTTAAGGATCAAGTTGACTTCTCACTCCAGTGCCTTCTCTCCCACCAACAGTTAAGTGGTATTGGTCCATTCTGCAGTCAAATGCCAAATTTTTTTTTTCAAAATAATCCCTGGTGGGATGTAGCAACATCTCGAGTCAGTGGAAGCCCTCTACCAGATCATTACTTCATATTACAAAATAAACATATGGCACACGGACTCTGTAGTTTGTGTAAGTCTGGAACGTGTAAAAGCTGACTCAGGTTCCAGGATGCCTGATTCACAGAGCTGGAATACTTAGGTTAAAGAAGTCAGTTTTCTATAGAACAARCTTTAAGCACTWGAGCAGGAGACAGAGCTTCAGGCARCCTACAGGTAAACTGTTTAAAAAGCAGAATGATGTCTTCCACCTAAGAAGTGGCATGTTGCTGTTTCAGGGTAAAGGCTGTAACTCATTCAAAGAAGAGCCCAGGATCCAAGGAGCTGAGAACTGGACACAAGCAGCATTTACATCTTCCTAATCAAACAAAACCTGCTGTCACCTTAAATGTCACATCAGCACAGCCAATGGGCCACAAGGCAGCACATCTGCATGATTTACATCAATACAGTGACATGTGAGAAGACAACATGAGAGTCAGTCATTGACTTCTCTTCCTAAGCAGTGCCAAAAAAGAAGGTGGAATAGAGCACTTCCCACTTTTGCAGAAAGTTTCAGGGCACCTCAGGTGGACACGAGAAAGGTSCAAAGATCAGACCTGTGGGCACAGCCTGAAAAAGCAGCAGATCTCTATGGCAGCAGCAGCCTCCCAGATCAGCAGAGCCATCCCACTGGGCTTTGGGGACAGCTGAGCCTGTGCCTCCCTTATCAAACACTTGAGCACTTGAGCTGCCTTTGATTTCCATTAAAGTCCCAAAGGCTCATCTCCACAATCACCAAACAGTGACACAAACTGCAGAACATCTCACACCTGCACCAGTCAAACACAGCGACTRCAGCTGATGTGCTGGCCCACCAAACATGCAATAGCAAATGCTTCTATCAATATCTTAACAAAGACAGCATTTCTTCAGCTGAAAACCCACAMAGCCCCACATGGTTTGTCTTCTTTTTTCACCTGCAGCCAGAGTCACACAAGACATGCATAGAACCCCAGCATACACAAATTCCAAAGGATCAGCTGGAGCCCAAAAAGCACTGAAAAGCCCCAAGTCCTGCCCTGAAGGGTTCAGGTTGCATTCTCAACCTGAGCAGCAGAGCCCCGCCTCCCTTCTCAAAGTTCAAATCTGCCCTTAGAGCAGATAAGTGGATGAAAGTAGGCTCCTTAACCTYGTTTTTTAAAGGGCTTCCCCTACACATCTGGGACAGTTACTCCTGTAACCTTCCCTTTCACTGTTTGCACCAGGTCAGACAGGCAGTTTGAACTCCCCAGCTCACAAAATAGGAATAACATGGATTTGCCTAGACAGCAGCCTCACAGCTTCCCAGCTGGCATAACTGGCCAGGCAAGAAAGGCCTCCCCAGCAGCCAGGCTTGAGCACCCAAGGGCTCCGTGTCCCATATCCATAACTGGAGCAGGGGCCTCCTTCCAGACACTGAACTGCAGCTTTCCCAATTCTCCTTAATACTGACAGCAAAGGACATGCTYCTGCTTCCAGTGCATGCACATCTGCTATTCCAGCCTGAGGACTGTTCCAAATCACCAGCTCCATGTTCAAACCCAGACTATCCCTACACATCTTCCTAGGAAATASCAAGGAGGTACAGTATTTGAGGCTTAAATCCAAGCACTGCAAACAGGTTCCACATTCCAACATGTGGACACTATCAGGTACAGCAGTGATTCAGAGATGAATAACAAAGACATTCCAAACACAGGATTGCACAATTGTTACATTCTAGTCCACACAGAGCACTCAGACTCTGTACCATCTGTCTCAGCAGCAGCCTCAGAGTCCTGCTCTCCTGTTCACCTGAACCCTTCCACGCCAATGCCAGTTACTCCACATGGCAGAATTATTCTACCAACTCATTTTTAACACACATCAGCAAAGATACACATCTGCTGTCTTCATTCTTTTCCTCCCAATTGTGTCTAGCTCACCTTTTGCCTAATAACAGTTTGATTTGGGTTATTTCAAACCCTRTATTTAGTTAACATGATCAGTCGGGACTCACCTTCCTACAGCACTGGAAAAATGCCCCTGAGAAGCATTAAGACACACGTTGGTAGTACATTCACTCTAGATCTTGTCTTTCTGCCCCTCACGCTGGTTCCTTGAATTCTGTTCTTTTCACCTCTGAATMGGCTCTGATGCAGTTTATCAGCACAAAAAGCCAAGGAGGCAGAGGAGATCCCATAAACCCAGCTGCCCTCGCAGCTTCTCAGTGCAGGGCAGCAGGTCTGTGTTCCAGCACARGAAAAGGGTGGGGCAGCAGCCCAGAGTGGCTGCAGGATGCTTACCGGTCTGTCTGGAGAACGTGGATCAGGTGTTCCATGGCCTGGATGCCGACCTCCAGCCGGTATTTCTGTYAGCAGGAGAGACAACTCGTTCATGGTGGAGCCCAAGCAACAAAGAAAGCCTTTTCAGCAGTACCTGACAAAGCTACTGGAAATTGATGCCGCCACTCAAGAAGTTGGCTACTCACCTTGGATAAGGACTTGAGAGCGCGCACAGCATCCCTCCGGTCATCCAGCAACGTGGAGGAGGCCACTCGGTCACACARCTTCTGGATCTGGAAGGGTACACAACACACGGGCTAAGCCAGCACCGACACACGGTGTACGGTGAGGAGCAGCAGGGGAGAGCTGCTCCGTGCCCGTTCCAGCCAGCGGCTCCCGTTCCCGAGCAGGAGCGGCCACCGGCCGGGCCTGTCAGAGCCACCGGCACAGGCGGTGCCGCCAGCGCGGCCCCGGGCGGGGCTGTCCCGGTCCCCCGGCCGTGCCCCGGCCCCGCCGCGTCCCCGCTCACCGTGTCTGCCCCCGAGGGCTGCGGCCCGGCGCTGGGGCCGCCCATGACGCCCCGCAAGAAGTTCATGGCGGCTCGGCCCGGCCGGCCCCGCCGCTGCCGCTCCCCCCGCGGAAGCGCCCGGCGCGCCTGCGCTGCCACGTGGCGCCGCCGCGGCCGCGGGCGGGGCTCCGGAGCCGCACGGGCACACCGCCCGCAATGATGCCAGCCAGGAGTGCCCTCCCGATAGCGCTCGGGATCGCATCGCTGCCTGCACTGCTCGGGAGGAGAAACCACCCCGAACAGGTGTGACAGGCAGGCCAAGGGCTGGCGACATGAACCTGCATGAAAAGTAAAACCAGCACACCCCTGGAACACAGTTCTGCCTCCGGAACAGCCCCATGGCAAACACTAAAGCTTGGAATTTAAAAGCTGGATTCACTTCCAATAGAAAAACGAAAAGGTGATAGCTACTCATTGCAACTAGAAATGCTCAAGTGTTTCTGAAACTGAGGCACCTCAGTGAGAGCCCAGCTTACCTAGATAACGCTGATGGTTCAAGTCCAAGAGAAAAGCACAAAGTAGTTAAATTACTTTCAGATGCTGAATGTCCCCATTGGATGCTACTGCAACGTATTCTGGATTCCCGGTGAGGAGCAACAGCCAAGAACCAGCACTCCAAACACTTCAGTGTCCARTCCGCAGCCTGATACTGCCTTCCTCATGGTTACTGGCAGGGTTTGGMAGTGTTCAGCTTATTCTACAAATCCAATTAAAGCAATTTTAATTGGAACTACAGCAAATAGGCACAGAAAGTGCCAAGATCATCAGTTCTATAAACTAGTTCATTTCATTCCAGGGAGAAAACCCCTCTCACGTCACAATTTAAATCAAGAGCTTTGAGGACTTGATTTTCCTKATCAGCTGAGAAGGAAATGAACCACCCAGCACATGGGCCAGAGAGTTTCAAGGTACTTACCATTCTGGGCCAGTAGAGACACACACCARAACTCACCTGACTCGTTCAAGTTGGGCATAAAGAGATTCTAGTTCTTCGCAAGAAAAAAAGAAACAACCAACACCAGGTTCTTCCTAAACCCAAAATTTATTTCAGTATTTCCATTCTTACATATACAGCCCCTAAGAAGGTGAGTTGCTTCCAAAAGAGATGTCTGACACACCCCAGCTGTCCTCTTGAAGGTACAATATATTGTAAGGGGCAAATTCTGCCACCCTGGAAAGGAGTTATTTGGTAATTGACCTGAAATCAGGGATTGCTTTATAATTCAGGATAACCCAAAAATGTTTATGTTTCAATGAGAAGGTGTAAACTTCTAACYGAGCAATGGATGGGCGCACAGCCCTCCGGAGACCCTGGCTGTATCCCCAAACTGACCGCACACTGGAACAYCTCCGTCCAAGGGAAAGCGCTCTGCTGGGCAGCAGCAAGGTGGCCAGTGAACCAAAGCCGCCCGTCCCCGCTCCACAACAAACCACGGTGAGGAGCGGACAATGAGGCGCACCTACAGCAGAACGGAGGAGTGAAAGCAGGAGCGAAGAACAGAACACCCTGCCCGCAGCGCGGCTCGCACCGACTGACCGCCCTGCCCCCGCCGGCGGGAAAACGCGCGCGTGCGTCTGACGTCACCGCGCCGGCCCGGATGGCCCCGCCCCTCTCTGGCTGCCCCGCCCGTGCCCCGCTCTGCGCAGGCGCGCGCGCGCACGCAGGCACGCACGGGAGCGGTGGTCGCCCCCCTCCCTCCCTCCCTCCCTCGCCCGGCTGTGACATCGCCGCCGCCGCCGCCGCGCCCCGCTCGCCCCGTGCCGCCCGCGCCGCGGGACGCGCCGCCCCAGGGACACGCTCGCCGCGCCCGACTCCGTGCAGCTCCCGGCGGCGTGGGCGAAAAGGCGCCCCGGCCCCGCGCACCGAGACTTTTGTCCCTTAGGTGAGCGGAATGGGGGGCGGGGGATAGGATAGGATGGGATAGGATGGGATAGGCCCCGGCGCGGGCTCTGTTTTTGTGCGGCGGGGGGGCGCGTGCTCAACGGTCGTGAGGGGGGCGGCGGGAGCGAGGCTGAGGGAGCGGCGGGAACGGCGCGCGCCGTGCTGAGGGCAGCGGCGGCATCGGCGCTGAGGAGCCGAGCGGGGCAGCGCCCATGGCCCCGGGCTTTGCCCTTCGCCGCCKCCCCGGCCGCGGGATACCGGCTCGGCTCGCATCGCAGCGGGGGGATGGCGGCTTTTGTTCGCCGTCACCTTGGCGGCTCTTCCGCCTCGCCCCGGGCGGCGCGAGGAGCCGGGGAAAAGCGCCCCCAAGCCCCGCTTTACTCGGTGCTGGCTGTGGTGTTGGGCCCTGCGGTCGTCGCTTCCCGTCTCACCTCATGGATCGATCGCTGTGCAGAGGCCTCCGGAGGTACGTGGGCTTCGGCATGTGCAGGGTGCCGCTCCGGCCGCCTCGCTCGTGCTGCTGRAGAGCCTGTAGCTCCCAATCCTCGSKTCAGCGGGCTCCTCTGYTCTCTCTCCCACAAGGTATTGCTGCCCTGGTTCCTGGCTCTAAGGGCTGTCCCAGCTCTGCACATCTCACCTTTTCCCTTTCCCCTCTCATAACCTGGGCTGCTCTGCACACAGAGTGATATTGCAAAAGTTGTGAGCACCTTTTATTCTGCAGAGCTCGATGCCTTGAGTAGATATTTTCTGAGCTGGTCTCACTTCTTGTCACCTGAGTTGAGCTCATTATGTTCTCAGGCTTTTACCTCCCTTCATCTSGGAGATCACTGCATTTCCAATGTGGATGCCCAGGAGCATCTCCACAACAAAGCTTTTAAACCCCTTGGGTTGCTGGGTGAGCCTGGATCTTGAGCTTGGTGCCAAGTACCACTGCATGAAAGAACTATCACAGGAGAGAGCAGAGGATATGACATTTTTGCTTAATTTCAACTRGAAACACTTAGTCATGTAGATTTCGTTATTGTGTCCTCCCATGCCGGTTTGGCAGTTCCAAGGTTGTCACTTCAGGTTCAATGTGGAAATGTTCTGCATTTGTACAGAAAGAAGCATAAAGATGCCCAGGGTACTTTTGAACAGTTGAAAATAGAGTAAGTTCTATTTAGCTGTACCCAAGTTTCTGACAGTAATATGGCTGTGTCAACTTGGATTCTGAGCTGGGGAGTTGTGGTTGCTGAGGAAATGGTATTGCTTTGGCCCTTTGAGACTGCACAGCTTAGCTGTCCATAGGACAGTCCCCTATGGCATCTGTGTGCCAAACACACGCGGTGCTGTTAAACTCCTCCCAAAAAACCCCATTTGTGAACCCAACCCAAACCAACCTSTCAGCAGAGCTTGGTTTGAAAGAACAGCATGCTATGCCTTTGACTCAGCCAGTTGAGAATGTAGCACATGGGGTAAAGGAGACCATAAAGGGAAGGGGTTCTGGTAGATGGCACAAGTTTGCTGCAGATGGAGGATGCTCTGAGTACTAACCTTGCAGAGCATGACAGAGAGAAGGTGCTGCCAATATTGGAACGTTCTTTGGGACTTCTGATTGCCCTTTCAGGATTTTTCTCCTTGCAGTCAGTGCTACTTTTGCTTTCCATGAGGTAGCTGCCAGCCTCTGCAGGGCTGTTCTCCAGATGCCCTGCCTCAGGTCAGCTGGGCTATCAGTTGCCATTTGGATTTTTAGTTTTATTCAAGGTGTGGCTTCTCACAGGATGCGTGGCAGTGATGGCATCTCAGAGCCATGCTTATGGATTGCAGCGGCAAGTGTACTGTGTAAGGCATCATTTGCTTGTCTACAGTAAGAAACAGAGTTTCAAAGTGATCACCTGRGTTCAGGAGAAACCTGCCCAACATTGTGAAAGCTGCTCTCCCCTTCCCTTCTGTTTTCCTTTGGCTGCACTGGTGTGGGAGGTGACACTGTGTCCCTTGTGGCTTTGCTTAGTGTGTCTGTTGTGTGGGGAACATCTTCCTGATTTGCAAGAACATTTTTCTCAGTTTTATTTTCATTTTAAGTGGTATATTGAAATCTGATCAGCAACTTGGACAAGAGTTGCTGACTTGGGGACGTACAAACAAGCCATGCTGTTGCAGATTTATATCAAATGATAGCTTGATGTCTGTGTGCCTTTAGTTATGGACAAATTGTTCCGTGGATGAATTGTTCAGAGGACAAAATTTGCTTGTCAATAAAACAAAATTTTACTTGTTTATAATTTTCTGTTAAAACCACTGGTGAGGCCCACATCTCCCTTGCAAAGCTAAAAGTTTCTCTTGGTGGGCGGTTATGTTCAGGTTCACGTGACACATTCTTCACCTGCTGTCAGAATTCCGTTCAACCTTTTATTGGTTTTATTTTTTCAGTTTTATTTTTTTGCAGATACTATTGATGAAATGTCCAGGCAACATCACTGTAGTTGGTCTGTCTTGAAAGGGATGAAAGTGGCTTTGAAATACCTCTTTGGGCACAACCAAAGACTTTGTGCCAAAGTTTTTTCTCCAGATGCCTAAATTTGAGCACATGGACCACCATTCTGTAGCTCAGTCACGGCCTCAGGTARCAGTACTTTGCCACAGATGATCAGTCACATTTCTGCTTTCCACAGGGCAAGGGAAATAACAATAATGTGAATGCTTGTGTATATTATAGGGGACAAGGCTTTGCTAATGTCAGAGCTGCCTATTGAGCAAAATGCATGCCAGGAGTATTCACTACTCAACACAGAGTGGTCTTCTTGACTTCTTCAGAAACAAATTGCTGCTGCCCTCTTGTGCAAACTGATGGATGATGACTTGCTGTTTGGTTTATGGTTTTTTATGTTTTTTTTTCCATTCAGTTGTAGAAGGGACAAACACATCTTAATAAACTTTTGTATATAAAAGTGATTAGAGGTTGCTTGAATTTGTGTGTTCTTACTTGAGTGCAGAATTATTGTAGGAGTTTGTTCTCATGTACTTCAGCACAASTGTCTCAGTGTCTCCCTGAGATTCTTTTCTTAGTTTGTTAGTCACTGACTCTTGAGTATGTACTGRTGGAAATTGGAATTTTTAAAAATAGAGTATGGATATCAGTGGGGCTTCCYTTGGTGCCTGGTAAGCCATGGAGATACCGTTCTTTTTAAATTTTGTGAATTTAAATTGTTGATGCTGATGCCCTGACTWTTAGGTTAAATTTCACTGGTGCCTTTGCCTCCAAACCCCTTGGGCCTGCTAAGGCTCTGGSCCTTGATTTTAGGGAGGTGCTGTAATAATTGGAACACCTGGAAATGTTAGTCTTTTGAAAACRTGGTTTCATGGCAGCCATGTTGTTAACCAGGAATACCTGTGGTTTTATTCTTCAGCCTTTTAATAACCTGGGATACCTGAACAGTTCATTAAGCCACTGTTATCCCTATTGAGATCTTYGAAGAAATAATGAAAAGCAGTAATACTGAGACAGGTGGAGARTTGTACTGAGACATCCTGTAAAGTTACATGATGGTGTGATGTAAATCARTGGTGCTGTCACTTGAAATATGGAAGAGGTGCATGGTGCTCCTCTCTGTGAGGAACTAGGACAACTTCCAATGAAGAAAAGATGTAGTGTGATACCGATCTCCTGTAGTGTAATCACTTGTCACAGATTATGTTCTGTACCCAGAGGCATTTTCAGTGTTCATTCAGGTATGCCAGCAATTTGTGAACAAATACACTTTRCTTGTTGCTATATTCATAAAAATGTGGTGGCTATCACCTGCTTTTTAACAGGTCCTTTTAAAAAAATGGTGGTGAGGGTCCATCTTTGTGCATTCTCCCAGGTGCTCACAGTGGGGATCTTGTCACCAATTTTGTGTTCATCGTCTGCTTGTGAGGCAGGGAAACAAAAACAAGAGGATAGCCTCATATAGAAACTGAGATGTTCTCCTTCTTTTAAGGCTGGTTTCTAAGTAAAATTTCCATGTGCATGCCATTGCTCTAGTATGAGTTGTGTTGGAAAGATTCGCAAATTGCTCCTATTTTCTTTTCTTTCCTTTGCTCCCACTTTGAACATTCACAGGGCTCAAACCTTTGATGTYCTTTAGGATTCTGACATTTGGTTTTGTGTCTCATTAGCATAATTACTTCCCCTGGGGCTTCCTGTGAGGCAAAACTAATACTGTGTTCCAGAGTTTTGGTMGGTTATATTAAAAATTTTGGAAAACCCTACTGTAAGTTTGCTGATTTCTTATCTCCAGGTTCAAGACTTGTGTTTCAGGCTTTGCCTTCTGCCTTCCCTGCRAGTTTTGGAGGCTGTTGTTTCAGGTGTGATTCCTGACTAACTGCATTTGGGAAYAGTTCTTGGTATTAGTATCTTGTGGCTTGGATTGCTGACTTGAGACGATTTTGATTGCCCATGAAGTGTAAACTATTTGAGCTAAGTATGTGGGCTTTTTTCATCTGAGTTCTATTTTAATGCAGGATCTGACATGTTTATGACATTGTTCCTGTGTGCATATTACCTTTGTTACAGGCCCTTCTTAAGATGAGGTGACTCTCCCAATTTCACTTCATATGCTGTATGTGCTCTCTGGCTGTAATTGCAAACAGTCTTGCTTTAGATTGATAGGTCAAGGTTATTTTGGTAAAAAATCAAAAATCTTACTCAAGGATTATCTCCCAAGTTGGAAACTTGGATTTTTGACTTGGACTTCTTTGCCTGTTACGTTGCCTACACATGAATCTTTGGAAAGAGAAAGTAGGTGAAGCATCTGTGTGAGAATTGGAATTGCATGATTGCAGACAGTGGTAGTTTTAAGTGAGCTGGCAAAAGCAATGTGCTGGGTGCTGKCAAGCCATTGGAAAGTCTTTCAGAGTACTGAGGGTTAGTTTGTGACATGGATGATCTGCAAGACAGTTTGGATAGGTAGGAGCATAGCAGGTTGAACCAGGTGACCCATGCAAGTCCTTTCCAACTTAGATGATTCTGTGACAAAATTGAAATGCTGTTAGGGTGGATGAGGAGTCCCTGAGACTTTGGTCATCTCTGAGGCAGCCAGGTTTCCCTTCCCACTCTTCATGGAATGGGAATCCAGCCCACAGAGTTCCTTCATCCTGCTGCTCCCGTGTTCATCTTACAGACGTGACAGGAACCTTTTGAAGCAGAGCTACTGGCTGCCTCAAAGTGTATTCTTGTTCGCTTTGCAGAGCTCTTGAGCTGGGTTTTTTCAGTGACCATCAGCCAAAGGGATAAATAAAAGGTGCAAGAGCTTTTTAACAGGGTTTTTGTTTGTTTKGGGGKTTTTTAATGTTTTTTTAAGCACCTGTTCTGTAAAGGACTCCCTTTTCATCAGAGTAATACCATTTGAATTGACTGCAATATTTTTATTTACTCAACAGAGGTGGGAGAGGGTGTCCTGAATTGGTTGGGTATTTTGTAGTGAATTAAGTACCTGTATGTGTAATTGTTTCAATTCTAATATCGCTATGTTTATCCTTTTATGGGCAAGTTGTGATTCACAGAGATGTCTTCAAGCTAACATGAATATTTTTAATTGCAGYGTTTGACACTGAGTACCAAAGAAATGGTGATGGAGAAGCCAAGTCCCCTGCTCGTGGGGCGGGAGTTYGTGAGACAGTACTACACCCTGCTAAACAAAGCTCCTGACTTCTTGCACAGGTAACTTSGTTTGTTCCTGATTCTTGGAGCCTCTTCAATTGCTGCTTGTGGTGAATTTCTTGATGCTTTGAGCTCTACAATTTTTGGCTAAAATAATTCTGATAGACTTAATTCTATTTTTTTTTTCACTTCTGTGACTTTTACATCTCTTTGCTTGCAGGTTTTATGGCAGGAATTCATCTTATGTCCATGGAGGACTGGATGCCAGTGGAAAACCACAAGAAGCAGTATACGGTCAAGCTGTGAGTATTGAAATTAGTCCTGTAATCCTCATTAATGTTCAGAATAAATCAGGGTTTTTCTTTACCAGTTTTTTTTTGTTTGTTTGTTTGGGGCTGGTGTTTGTTGTTGCTGGGTATTTTTGGAGGGTTTTTTTTTAACACGAATTAAATGCTGTCCCTTTCACAGGCCTTTTAAAAAATTAAAGCCTTCAAATAGCTCATAGATTTTAATACAGCTGGAAGAATTGGGTAGCAAGTTGTATGCTATTTGTCTACTCTGAGAAATGCTTGAATACTAATGRAAGACTTCAGATTAAAAGTTAGATGAGCTCAGAGAGACTGTTCTCAGTAAAAGACACTTCTTGGTTCCTGTATTTATCTTTTGAGCTTCAGGGGAATGCTTATTTTGGGTTGGTTGAGAAGTTGTAAAGCTGTGTGCAGAGCTGMCTGCAGCTGGGGAATGGCTCTCTTTCCAGGAGATCCACAAGAAGGTGATGTCACTGCAGTTCAGTGAGTGCCACACCAAGATCCGTCACGTGGATGCTCATGCCACTCTGAGCGATGGCGTGGTTGTGCAAGTCATGGGAGAGCTGTCAAACAATGGGCAGCCAATGAGGAAGTTCATGCAGACTTTTGTGCTTGCTCCAGAAGTAAGTATATGCAAGATTGTGTCAAACTTCAAAAACGTGACCTGATCTGTAGCCACAATTTGTCATATTGGGCCAAAAAATAGGATCTGGCTTCAAAACTTGCTCTGGGGGCTATCATTAAATGTGTCCCAGTGTGTGAGTGCAGAGAAACTGGTGTATTGGACCCATCCTGAGCTGTTCTGTTTGCTTGGACTTGAACTGTTGGAACAGTCATGCAAACAAAATGGAAGCTCTTGTGTTYGGGAGCTGCCACTGGCGCAGATAWTTTTTTTTWWWWAAATAAGGTTCAGCTCTGTAGATCAGATCTCTGTACTGTTGTGTACTTTCTAGTCTAATGGTAAATGTGAGTATGGGTTGATGCTGCACAAGTTCCTGCTCAAATTTAGCTCTTGGTGAGAGCAAAGCTGTACAGGTAAAAGGTGTCTCGTGTTTTTTCTACTTMTTTACACCCACTTCATCACAAAGTACTGTATGGTGAGAGATTAATGTTTCAGGTTTGTGTTGAATTTCTTGTTTCCCTGCACAGTGCTGTAAGCATGCAGCCACCCTGTGAAAGTTCAGGGGGTTTATTGTAAAGTGYTTGTAATAGGGAAAATTGAAATTCCCTGAAGAAACTGAGGGGCTGTATGCTTAGTTAAAACCTGTGATTGCTTTGACTTACCAAATTAGCAGATTTTATTCTGCTTAAAACTTCAGTTGGGCAGAAGCTACTGTTCAATTGTTTTCTTACAGAAGAAGAAAATAACTTGGAAAATAACTGTAGTGACATAGTCCTATTGCAAAATGTGTGCACCCCAAAACTTAATGTCTGTAGTCTGTTCTTTTGATGACTGCTGATATTCTATGTATACTAAACACTGCCTGTTCCTCTTTTACAGGGATCTGTTCCAAACAAGTTCTATGTCCATAATGATATCTTCAGATACGAAGATGAAGTATTTGGGGATTCAGAAGGAGAGCTTGATGAAGGTGAGGGAACTGTACACATGGAGTTTGTGTGGTTCTTGTTCCTCTCCCCTGTGTGCAGAGCTGCTGCAARGTTCTGGTGGAGATGTTGGGATGCAGAGTGTATTGCCTTCTCATGGGGCACAGAGCTGTTGTTACTGCAACTCTGCTCGTTCAAAATCTTCTGTAAAATGAAGGTCTGGATTAGTGCTGTGTTCCCTGAAGGGCTGAATGTTCACAGAGGGTGAGGCTAGACACAGAGTGGAAGCAGTGAGCAGCAGTGCTTCTGCTGCCATAGCTGCATCAGGCACACTTGTGTTCCATGAGCAGTCAAATTTGGAGGTAAAGTGATTTAAAGAAGTTCAATTGTTTTTTAGATATGGTACATAGTTCACTTTCACATCATCATCACACCCAGTAATTCTTTTCTATTCAGGGGCTGAATTGGACCTGAGTGGGTTTTTCCCCCTCTGTTCAAAGAGGCAAAGTGAATCAGTATAACTAGAATGTATGTACATGTGCTCACTGGGTGGTTTCTGGAATTTGTTCATCTCCATTCTGTGGAACAAAGCATCTTAGGCAATCATCCTTGTGTTGTACTGCATTCATCTCAGTCTGAGGCACTGAGATGTGTGAGTTACTAGTGCAGTCTTTCTCTTTTACTGCCACCATATGAAAAGTGTCTGCTGCTTTAAAATATCCCCAAACCTCCTCCCAGAACTTCCCAGCAGCARTATGTCCCTGGCTGCTTCTTCTTGTGGAAATCATAAACAGCCCAGCCCCTTGACTGAGAGACAGGGTCTTCCATCTTTTTTTGCAGCTAATTTTATGATAGTTTGTTGATGAAGCTTTAATTTGATTGCTGCTAATTTAATGTGCATTTATTTTAACTGTGGCTCATGAGCACTTGCAGAGATACATAARAGCATACAAGTTTCTGTTTTTGTGYCAGAGTCTGAGGAAGAGGTGGAGGAAGAGCAGGAGGAAAGACAAGCATCACCTGAACCTGTACAAGAGAATGCAAGCAGTACTTACTATGAAAACCATCCCGTAACGTAAGAAGTCCTTTTTRTTAAATGAAGTTGCTTTATTAATAAAAATGACAGAATTGCTTTGACTTTAGGTTCTGGATGTGATTTAACAGCTAGTTTAGGAAAATACACTTAGCTTGAAAGTGGTCTGTATTAAGTTAACATTACATTATTTTGAGACAYTGATCCTTTATTGAAGAAAGGAAATGGGGGATTTTTTTAATGTTTGTTAGTTATTTTCATTTCTGGTCTCAAAAGTGATGTGAAAAGGGAGCAACAGGTGTGTGCACACTTAATGGAATCTTTGTAATTCAGACTTCCAGCACTGCATTGATACGATGTAATTTATGTCACGGAGGGGTTAACAAAGGGGTGGTTGATCATAGAATCACAGAATAGTTTGAATTGGACGGGACCTTTTAAAGATCATCTGGTCCAACCCCCTGCACTGAGCAGGGACATCTTGATATGTTATTCAAATTCAATTTATCACTTGGAACTGAGAGAAAAATCTACTTTTTGAGAAGCTGCTGTACAGTTGTATTGGAAGAATAGGTCTCTGTCCTGAGTGTCTTCAAATCTAATCAAAGAAACAAAGATATTTATGATTTTTAAGAAAAACACACAAAACAACCAAACAAATAACCCCCACAACACAAAGAAACAAACAGCATCAAACTCCTGTGCTTTTTTTGAAACATAGGATTGGCCTAATAAGGACTTGAACCGACTTTCTGATTCCTTTGTTAATAAAAACATTTATGACATCACTAGACAACACCTGCTGAGTGCATCAGTGATAATGCTAAATTCAAGTCACTTAATGCTTTTCATGAGAAATCTGRTGGAAAAGTGAAATCTGTTGGAATTCTGACAGTGGCTTGCTTGAAATAATGCAGGGCATTTKGGATGCCTGAGAGCATTAAGTCAGGTCTKGTTTTTGGATTRCTGTGTCATTTGGAAAGAGGCTGTRAWGTCATTGTTCATCAYAGTCACTKGGGCATASGGTGACCTGTGGCAGGAGCTGTATAGACAGAGGTGTCTGCAGGTTGCTAGGATATTGGGGTGGCTGAAGAGGGAAGAAATTCAGATCCCCTACCTTTCACACACAGAGTAGAGAAGAAGTTGCATGTGATTTTCTGTAAATGAGACTCACGGCTGCTTAGGTAAGGAAGCGCTATAGCATTTTGCTAAAGAGACAGTAGGTTTCATTCCAAAATTGGTTTTGTTTATGTGCACAGCTTRATCATCCATTGATCTTCACTGTGTTTCTGTTTTAGAAGCATTCTACATGTTCTCCAGTTCTCAGCAGAGAATCACACAGCCATTTAACCCTGGAGAACAAACAGGTGCCCAACTCAAGAACTGCAGAACATGTCTTTGCTTCAGCAGATGTAAAATCTGGTTTTGTGCCCAATATGAGAGTACAGCTTCAGTTCTCACTGTGTTGTATACATACACACCACRTTGTAGCAATTGGAGACACAATGATCTTTTCCATAGCAGAGCTGTTACCATAGCATAGCTTACAACAAGTGGTAAAATGCACAGCAGTTGATAAGCTCATAAAATGCATTTGACTATTGCAGCAATGGGATAGAGGAGGCACTGGAAGAATCTTCTCATGAACCTGAGCCAGAATTGGAATCTGAAACAAAAGCTGAGGAGCTGAAAGCTGAAGTAGAAGAAAAGACCCTTGAGGAGCTAGAAGAGAAGTCTCCATCTCCACCTCCTGTAGAACCTGTCTCACTACCACAAGAACCACCAAAGGTTAGTTACAAGTGGTATCTGTGCTACTCAGTGCAGATGGAAACCATATTGGCCTTTGAACTTTGCCTTTTTGGGTGGCTAAACTGGTACCTCTCTTTAATGTTGTACTGGATGAATAGCTAGGCTTGACCTTTGWATTTGTAAAAATGTGAAGTTTCACTGAAAAAAGAAAAGGTTATTTTCAAGTGCTGCTCATCACCTATTGTAGATTTTATGCTCTGCTTGTAAAGTGTGTGTGTGTGGGTTTATGCATGTGTAGATATTTTTAAATGTGGACTTAATATATTTTAACAAAACACCTTGAGCTACCTACCACCACCAACAATCTCCTACAATGGGAACCACTGCTCTTCCCGGAAAAATAAAGGAATACACTAACACTTGCAAAATTGCTGCAGCATAGGTTCAAAATCAATCTGGGGGCATTGCTGGTCTCCTTAGAGGCAGGATGCCTAATCTTAAATAAAAATGTGTGTCCTCTGGTGTGTTACACCTGGAGTTGGAAAGTGCTGTGAGCACCAGGGAGAGCTGGATGGAGTGAGGTCATTCTCCAGCTCCACGATGTCTCCCGCATTTTTWTCCAATCCTTTTTCTCTTTCCCATTTTTGATTGTAACTTCAGGCATCCGCTTCCATCCTTTGTGCAAAAGACACTTGACACTGCAGGGTTTTCAGTCCTAGGTTTGGTAACAGCATGGAAAGCAGTGACCTGGGCCTGCTGAGGGCACTGGGCTCACTGGAGCAGCGACAGCGGGCCTGGTACACGCTTGTTCCACRCCACTGGAATGCACAAACAGCTGGAACTGCAAATCCTTCTGTATCTCCCTTGTAATGCTTGCACAAACATTATTTAATAGTCAGATATGAACCAAAAGTGTRTGTTTAGCAGACGAGTTTCCCTGTAGGAATGTCAGTGGTTTGCCATGATTAGTAGCCTAGGTTTGTTGCATTTCCTGCAGGCTTTCTCTTGGGCTTCAGTGACCAGTAAAAACCTGCCTCCTAGTGGTACTGTTTCTTCCTCTGGAATTCCACCCCATGTTAAAGCACCAGTCTCACAGGTAACCCATCTGTGAACACCTTGGATTGTCTCATTACTTCTGCAAACTGCTTCAGTTTTTTTAAATTAACAGATCAACTTGTTTGACTTAAATTGCACAAATTAATTGTGTTGAATGTTAATGCACTCACTTCCTTGTYGCAAGCGAAGGCATGAACACGTAACAGGTGTAACTTTGGGTAATGGTAATGTTAAAACCTGTTCTTGTGGAAACAGGAAATCACTATTGGGTTTTTTTTTTCCTAATTTAATGGCATATGGTTTGATTTGAAGGGGCAAACCCAACTCCTCACAAAATGYTACTTTTCTGAAGTGTGTTTGAAAAGGGCATTGGTGGAAGTGCCCCAGCAGTAAAAAGAGAKAGCACCATTTCTGAGGTGCAAGATTGTCTTGTAAGGCTAACATCCACAGAAATATGCTGGATTTCATGATCCACAGATAATTAGCTTGTCACAGAACCCTGTACCAACTTATGACTGTGTGAGGAATGGAAGGATTCACATTTCCTTGCCAGGACAATGCTATCTTCCCATTCCTAGGCTGACTGGGTGAGGAGGGGAAAGAGGAAAGCAAGTTTGACCTGGTAACAGCTCATGTCCTGCACATGCCARGGTGGTGTGAGACACATTGTGAGACTCTCAATTCTGCTTCCTCCATCTGTATAAAAAGTGCTCAAAATAGAAAATGTATCCTTTATCCCTGTGCATTGACACGGTGTGCCGGTGTGCTGGATCTTGAGTTGCTCCTGTCCAACCTTWTGAAAGACTGCAATTTTCAGTAGAATAGCTGGCTTGCTGCAGCTCTTGTTCTTGCACTGGTTTCTTCTCAATTTTGTGCTAATAGAGAGAACCCTGTCTAGGACTAGCCTTCAGCCAAATGTGTGTTAAAAAAGAAACAGGGGAGAAAAAGAAAAATGAAAGAAAACAAACCAAACAAACCCCAGCACCTTACATGGTGTTGATTCTGATCTGCTGGGACTATCATGGACATCAGATAAAGGCTGTGTAATGAGTTGAGAAGTCTGTCTGTCTTCATCAGCTTAAACAGGGCTTTCAACAATTAGGTGGTATTTAACCTGTAAAAACTGTGGGTTTTCTGGTACCAAATAGATTTTTCTTACACAAAACCCAAATAGGTTTTATTTACCGCAGAGAGGGTGGATTGCTGTGATGTGGCTGTGAAAATCTTTTCAAATGATCTGTCCAAGAGAGCAGGAGATACCTTACAGATGTCCCCTTAAACTCTTCTGTGTTGCCTCTTCTGCTTGCCATRCTTTGTGCCTTTTCATTACTTTCACTTTGACTTTATGTTTAAGTAATGTTGTGTGGAAGTCTCTGAACAATACTGGCATGGCAGGAATTTCAACTCTCAGCCCTTCTGTAGCCAGAATGAGTCAGTTGTGAGTTCCTTTTCTTGGACACATTTTAGGCACGGTGTGTAGAGATCCCATAGAAAGGGTGCCTGAACAAGGAGCTGCAAATCCTACAAGYTACAAGTAGCAGCTTTTTCCTGTTCTCATGGCTCCATTAGTGCCAGACACTGTTCATGTTAATGAGGACAAAAGATGCACTGATGGGTGAGTGGCTTCTTTGGGATGCTCTTCTAGCTGGTGTCAGTGATTTACAAAGCAATAACTGCCCTGCTCATGCCTTTCGCTGCATCCCTCCAGTTTTCCCTCTTTTCTATCAAGTTAAAAATACAGCTCCTGTACTGTGAACTCCTCAAAGGACTCCACATGTACTCTTTGGTTCTGTTTCCTTACAGGTGTGAAGTGAAACAGATTTCTCATTCTTTTTCTAATTGTAGATGCTTAGAAATCAGCCTGCCCACATTGATAAACTGGGACTTTTCCTTATAGCATTTTCAGGTATTTTTATTACYGCATTTTTTGTCTTAAGGGTTCAGAGGGGCAGGGCAGGCAGGGCCTGATTCTTGTCTTTTGGCTTGGAAGGGGTGAGTCCCTTTCCTTCTCCATGTGAGCTCCTGAACAGAAGAGACAATGTCACCTTTYCCTTAATGGTTTGTGCCAGGCTGAGGTTTGTGCCACACTTGGCTCCTGTAGTAGTTGTCTCTTGAGCTCCTTGCACAGTGTCTCTCGGTCTGCTCTGTGCTTGCTCAGAAATGCTGAGAGGTGTGAGTTACAGGGACCTGCTGTTTGGGCTGTAAATGCAGCCCTGATCAGGGCTCTTGTGCTGCTGCTGATCATGGCAGTGTTTTGGAGGGCACAGCCCTGCACAAGGGCTTTCCTCTTGAGGCACTGAGGCAACCTTTCTCTGTACAAAAGAATGGTGTTCTTAGAAAACACCCAGAGAGATCAGCTATTTGTGTGCTGGGTGAGAAGTTCASTGAATGCAAAGCAAGCAGATACMAGTTCACTGTTACTTGGCAAWKAACAGTAGGACATCAGTGATTTMGCAGGTCTTGSYTGGGGCTGACAGAAGGACTKAGWGTTTTARCCTGATAGCCACGTGTRTCTCAGAAAGGGGGGTCTGAAGGTRTTGAGTTTTGCTGTTGAGGTGTWGAGTGAAAGGTGACAGAGGAGCTCCAGTGATTCACAGGGAAACACAATGGARCAAGGTTTGACAGGAAGGCTGATTTTCCAAGCTTATTCTTGGAATTGATRAAGTGATCCTAGAAGTGTTGTAGGGACAGACTAATGCCTAGCTGTGTAGAGCACAAGTGACAGGAGGGCTGAAGCATTCGTTTGATGTGTAATACTTGCATGTTGCATGTAAAATCCTGTCTTTTTTCCCTTGGATGTACTCTGTCTGGAACTGCCAATTGTCCTGAGCTCTTAAAGAAAAGTAAGGGAGATCTCTAACATAAACTGCTTCTCCCCAACAGTCTGGACCTACAGCTGTTCTCCTGGTGTTTAATCTTACCTGCAGACTACTTGTGTATTTTGTGCTTCTGAGGATGATTCTGTTTTTCTAAGATAAGAACCCTGTGCACCAGCAGCTGCTTAACTGTTGTACAGAAAATGGAATTTTAAAAATAATGGGAATGGTTTCAGTAACCAGCAGTGAGCATAGAAACATTTTTATTGTTCTATTTCTCATAAAGCAAATAGGTATAGGGAATAGGTTTKCTAGTACCTGAATATGAAGGGTGTACTTTGAGCATCATGGTCTTGACATCAGGAAAGTTGAAGCGTATCCTAAGCGGTAGTCTGTAGAAACTCATTTCAGGAAATATTTACTACACTTCTGAGGGCTTTTATTCTCCTCTTTAGTAATTTTCATGTAGGTGTTCTGCAGTGGGGGAAAATAATTCCTCAGGGACTTGGACAGAACATGTAATTTGCCCATCTCTTTGTGTTCATCTGGGACTGCCTCCTAATCCATGAAGTTTGAGCTTGGCATGAGGAAGCTTTGTGGCCTCTGATTTAAGTCAGGCGAGGGATCTGTGAATAACGGAACATTGGGGTCTCAATGCCTGGTCAAACATGGAAAACTCACCTTTGCTGTGTTTTGGGGAGATTCTCTGATTGAGAGATGTTTGCTTTGCACCTTTTAACAGTGATAACTGAGCACTGCAGTCCTGGATTGGTACAGAGGAATTTAGACAGGTGAAAAAACACTCCCAGACACATTGACATCAATGTCTGTCTTTTAGAGTTTGTTTTGTGCATGCCACTTACCCWTGTCTTGTGTTGTGGGAGTTTTTGTTTTGGTGAGTTTGGGGGTTTGGGGTTTTTTTTTTACTGGGCCATTGTTAAATAACGTGTGTTCTCCTGTTTTAGCCAAGAGTGGAAAGTAAACCTGAAGCTCAGTCTCAACCTCCTCGTGTTCGTGAGCAGCGTCCCAGGGAAAGACCGGGYTTTCCACCCCGAGGACCTCGGCCAGGTAATGTGGATCAGCTTTGTGTGTCTGCTGGGACTGGTTATTGAGAGGTGTCTGCTGGCCAGGCCCTGTCTGTACCTGTGTTGTATCTGGCTGATCTTTAACTCCCTGTGCCTGCTGCCTCCAGCTGGGAATGAAGGAATATGATTTGGAGTCCAAGGCGGCTGGAGTGAGTGTGCTGGTGCAGCCCCTAGGTGTGTTCATCCMAATTTACACACATCTGCTAACTKCAGTGCTTCTACCCTGCTCTTTCTRTTGACGGCAGGGAGAGGGGACATGGAGCAGAATGAGTCGGATAATCGTCGGATCATTCGCTATCCAGACAGCCACCAGCTTTTYGTTGGGAACTTGCCACACGATATTGATGAGAGTGAACTGAAGGAGTTCTTCATGAGTAAGTAGTGATTTCAGCTGCTGGGACTAAGATAGAAAACTGTGTTAAAAAGGCACATAACACTGACTTAGACTACACGGGTAAGCTTTTACGTAATGCCACACTACAGATACCTGGAACGAGCAGAGGGGGATGGTACAGCTGGCACTGCAGGTTTCCATAAAGTGTTTCTTCCCTTGTGTTTTTCCAGGCTTCGGAAATGTGGTAGAACTTCGCATCAATACTAAGGGAGTGGGAGGAAAACTGCCTAATTTTGGTTTYGTGGTATTTGACGATTCTGAGCCGGTCCAGCGAATTTTAGTTGCAAAAGTAAGTATTGGCATTGAGTATTGAGTGTCCCCATCCAGAGATGGACCAAAAGCCCTAAACCACCAGTAAAGTGGGCCATCCTAGCTTGCATTGCTGTTGGMTCAGTCATTGAAAAACAGCTGACAGACAAACAGAGCTTTGGCATACYCATTGTCAGGAAGGCTGTGTAACTTCAAAAGGTGTGCCAGAGTTCTTCAGGCCGCATCATGGAATTCAGGTTTTTTACTCCTACAAATACACTCCACACAGAGCTCAGCACTTACTGTTAGAGATCCTTCAGCTGAAAGCATGGCTGGTAACCTTTCAAAGAGCATCACATGGATCTCTGAGGCTCTGAGAAGGGAACAGAGCTATTTGCAGTTTTGCTTTGCGGAACTCGAGGGGATAAAACAGCAGTTTTCATTTCTGTGATGTGGGTGTGAGACTTAGTAGAGCATTTCCAGTTCTTCAGGAACTTCAACCCTGAAGTGCAAAGGCTAAAGTTGGCAGTGAAGAGGTTGAACACAACGCTGCTTTTGCTTGAGACAAATGCTTTAATTGCTTGCATGCCCAAGTGAATGTAAAAATGGTGTTCKGTAGGGCTCAGGTGGTGCTGCAAGGAACCCTTAACAGGTCAGGTTTCTCTTGGGCGTGTATGTGAAGGAAGGCTGGGGCCGGCAGCCAGTGCAGAGTTTTGGTGTGCCTTGGATAAAATGGATTTGGTGCCGTGCTGACTAACGTGTGCCTTGACTGCTTTTCCCCACAAGCCCATAATGTTCCGGGGTGAGGTGCGCCTGAACGTGGAGGAGAAAAAAACCAGAGCCGCTCGTGAGCGAGAGACGCGCGGCGGCGGCGACGAGCGCAGGGATATTCGGCGCAACGAGAGAGGCCCGGGCGGGCCCCGYGGAATAGTGGGTGGTGGCATGATGCGGGACCGGGACGGAAGAGGACCCCCTCCTCGGGGTGGCATGGCACAGAAACTGGGCTCTGGACGAGGAACCGGGCAGATGGAAGGCCGTTTCACTGGACAACGTCGCTGAAATCTCCACTGTGGCCAGACAGTCTTGGCAGTGGTACATTATCCATCGTGTTTGCATTCTTGTTTTTTTTTTTTTTTTTTTGGCTTTTGAATATTTTAAAACCCCCTTTTTTTTTTTTTTTTTTTTTTTTTGGCTTTGGAATGTGACACAGCCCTTCTGATCATTTCTTTGATGTGAAACATCCTTTGGTTTCCAGTTTAAATTGAGGTGGACGTTGTTTCCCCAGTTTCACAACAGGAGTCACGCTCTTAATTTATAAATGTAGACTTGGAGAATTAAGGACTAAAAAAAAAGAATCAAGAAAAACAAACAAATGAAAAAATACCATTAAGAAAAGACCATTTAACTATCTGCAACAGAAATGAACTAAAGGACATGCCCAGTAGAATTGAGATCCTTTCAATCAAAAACCCTCTGCTGCACATTTTGTGTAAGTGTTACCGTTTCTGCCTACTACTGTTGGAAACACAAATAGTGCAATTTGTGCAATTGGAGAAGCTTGCCTTTTTTTTTCCTTCTTAGAACACTCGGCTCCAAACAAACTCGTGTTTACGCACTCATCAAAATGCACTAATGGGTCCTCTGAACTCATTTATACTGACAGCTGCAGGAGGCATCGGAGGGAAARCCTTCATCCTCTTACTCAGACAGAATAGCTTGGGGAACGATGCGGGCATCTGCTCTGCTTGCTGTGACCAACCTCTGTACACACACAAACCTTAATAAGACTACACCTTTGTTCCAGAAGGAATCCAGTTAGCTGTAAACTAACCCAGAGTTTCCAAGTCGTAGCCCCGAGTACGCAACAAGTTTGATAGCTCACGTCAGATTTTTCTATCTGCCCCTCTTCAGTGCAGGGATGGCTGCTCAACACACTCCTCCTTCCCCTTCCCCCTTCGAGAAGCGTTGGACAGTGAAACTTGTCTTGACTGTATTTSAGTTCTCTGGTAATGTAATAAGCATGATGGTGCCTTCTATGAATACATCATTCCAGTCTTGCTGGTGATTTTGTACAGTATAGTGTATGAAGTACTGTGCTGCGAAGCCAAGCGGCTGCAAATCATTTAAAGAAAATAATTGGAAAATTGTATTAAAAAAATTGCAGTATCTTTCAATGAGTAAAGGTTGCTAAAACGATCATCCACCTTGCTCTTCAATTAACAAGTTCGCCTGGTTTTTTTGCAGTGGGGGGAAAGGGAGGAAGAAGGCATCCAAGTAGTCTCCAGGCTGTCTCTTCTCTTTARTCAGTGTCAAAGTTAAAGAAAGTGGAGTTCCAATCTCTCTTGGACATGAATTTCAGAAGTCAGTCCAGAATGGTGGACGCTTCTGGCCAGCTTGTAATGGGGAGACCTAAGCATTCTTTGTGAAGGTGAGCTTATCAAATGGGGATACTGCAATTTTCAGAGAACTAAACAGCAGCTCTTAAGTTCTTGCATTTTCCAGTTGCACTTTTTTAAAAACTTGTACTCATTTTGCACATAACTCTCAGCTGAAGTTGACAATGGCTCTGGAGCGAGGGATGGAAAGGAGACTCCTCTGTGCAGTTTGCTGGTGGGTTCTCCATGGAGAGCTGTGTTTGTGATGGTGTCCCGGAGCACATTCCCAACTGCAGCTGCAGCAGGCAGTGCAGGGGCCCGGGGCCAGGGCTCGCCGTGAGCTGGCGGGAGCACAGGGGTGTTGGTGCGTGCGTCTGGGCGACAGTGGCACCGCTTCCAGCTGCTTCTGAACGTGCAAGACCTCAGAGTCAAGAGTAAAGGCAATTTCAGGCAAAAGCAGGGAGGGCATCCTGGCAATCTGTCCCTGGATTATGCAATCGTTTGCTGGTTTTGTGTAAGCTGGAAGATTTTGCACAGCTTTTCTGATAYGCTAGGCAAGGTGAAGTGGCATCTACCTGTTCTCTCCCAGACTTGAGGTCTTCTGTGTTCCATGGTAAGTCTTGCACTATTTTCATACACTTTTTTTTCTGGTACGCATTTCTACCAGTTGACATTTTCACATTTCAGTTTTTTTGTTGAAGGTCTTGCGATTTCAGCTGTTACCTGGAAATCTGTAGTACTTGAACAGCTTGCCACACAACTCCACTCCTTAGGTTTGAAGCCCTCGGACTAATTGCTGCCATCAGTGAGCAGTTTGCCACCAGTGTGGTTTRTGTAGCCTGGAGGTTTTTTTTTCATTCTGTAGTGCTGTGGTGTTTTGCTGCCACCTAATCTGTTTGTATGGCAAACGGCACTGGAAATAATTGGCGACAAAAACGGAGTAGTAAAAAGAACTCCTGAGCCATTCTGCTTTTTGGCTTGCTTCTTGTTTAAGTGACACGAACCCTTGGAACATCATCCAGAGAAGTTTACATGGTGATAGCTCACCTKCTGTACTGTGGACTCTTATGTGTTCTTGACCCTCTCAATAGTAAATGTACCTCTTAGAGCAAAGGAAGGGATTCACTGACCATTACTGTTAGTCGCTGATTTGTGARTGGTGGGAGTATTTTGTCATTACGGTTCTATTTCAACAAACTTGGCTGACCATCTTGGCTTTAGTAGGTATTCAAGACAGTGGATTACCATCTTTATTGCTGTAATGTGTCAAGCATTATATGCTAGTAGATTCTAGTTTAATTGTCGCAGGTGGAAAGTATTTTTACTTTWAAGTTTCCATTCTGAATGTGTTTTGACTAAACATACCAATAAACTACTGATGTCTGCAGCATTTATCCACGTCCCTAATTCTCTTGCATGCAGGTGGCTCTAGAGCCCTGGCACCCCTGGCTTACAGAAGAGCTTGTAAGAACATCACTGCTGCTGACCTGGCTGGTGACAGTGGCAAGCTGCAGTAGCACAGCATCATTGGGGTACAGCTTCCATGGATATTGCACTGGTGCTGGGAGGAATGTGAGCTGAGCTGTCTTAAAAAAAACAGGCCGGAGTTGCTTGCTCTCCACTTTAACGTCACTATTGATGGTGCAGAAGTAATTGTCCCAGTTTTGTTACTTGTGTTTGTTGGCAGTTACCCAAAAAGGTCTGCACTGCTCATAGATGAGGTGTGGTGGAGTCATGAAATCTYTGAAGTTCCTGGTAGCTGCTGTCGGCCCTGTCTTGTTGAGGGCATGTCTTGGCTGTAATAGTTCCTGATAAAAGGCACTTAAGAAGTGGCTGAAAAGTAATGCAGTTGTGTATGTTGAAATACTGGAATGAAAAACAGGATCCTGTAGAGGTCCCATAGCCAGAGCTGCCAAAAACTCCTCAGAGGAATACCCTCGACAGCTACAAGATGTGCCAGCACCAAAGATCTCCAGAGAAACACGAACCCCTCTGCCACTGGTGGGTGCCTGCAACATTCAGACCTTGGTGCCTTGGATTGCGAGGTAAATTGTGCAGATTCATTTACATGGGGCTGAGGGGATGGGCAGGAGATAATGGCAGCTGCAAGCACACAGGGTCAGCCAGGACCTGCTTTTAGTTTTGCTTTGAAGACTTGGGTGTTTCACACAAAAAGTGTTCAACAACACTTTTTATCAGCACCTTTTATTCAGACTTGTGCTGGAGTTAGAAAAGGAAGTTCTGGGACAGCTGAGGGATGTGACAAAGCAGTGCCCTGCTCTGTGCTGCAGAGGCCTCACCTCTTCCCTTGGTTGTGCCCTTGCTCTGGTGCCTTTACAAAGTCCAGCAGTTTTACACTACAGCGATTGCTGGGGTTTTGCATTTCATTTGGAGAAACAGAGCTTGGAACCATGATTCATGGGACATGGTGGAAGAAGATAGCAGGCTGCCTGATAATCCTTTGGAGGGCCATTGATACTTTGGTTAAAGCTTGGCTGCTTTCAAGGGGGAGCAAAGTGCCCCTTTGGCTTGCGCTGTGCCTGGTGTTCCCGGGGCCTGAGCTGAAAGGAGACATGGTGGGAATGGTGCTGCAGCACTTGCTGTTCCCTTGGAAGGGCGGGAGCAGTGCTAAGTGTGGTGTGTGTGTGGAGGAATTAAAGCTCAGAGCAGCTTTTGCAGATCTGACACCATGTTCCTCTTGGCTGCCTTGTTGCAGTGCAGGCTTCACTGCATGCCTGTCCCTGTGTGCCCTGAGAGGTGACACTCAGGAGTTCAAACAAGAAGTGGTACAGCGGGGCACCAAGGACTGGGGGTTCCCTGCCCACAGAAGCCCTTTGGGCCCCGCAGCCCTCACAGCCACCAATTCCCAAAATGCAGCTCCACAAGTGCTGCTCTGGCAACATGTGGTTACCACATTTGTCCTAATGGACCCTGGACACAAATGGGGTTGATGTGTCACCTCTTGGCCACTCTGCGGGTAAGGAATGGGTGTGCTCTGCTCATGAGGGACCGTGTGTCTGGGATACAGTGGGACATCGTTTGCATCACCAGGACCAAATCCCCTCTCTGCCTCAGGACCCCTCCGCAGCAGAAAGAAGAAAGAAGAGCCTGTCAGTGCAGCTGCAGAGCGGCAGCTCCTGGAGCCTCTGCTGGAGCATCACAGCGGTGGGGACAGCACTGTGCTGGGTCCCTCACAGCAGCTGCAGCAAGAGCTGCCCATGTTTCCATGACAAGGAAGGAGCCCTTGGATTTTCCCTGSCATGTCACCCTCTGCTGATCTGCTGCAATCTGCGCACAGGGGTGGTCTGTGCAAAGTAGGCTCAGTCCCCC